AACCAAACCATCCATGCCCCTCGACTCGATCGTACTCTGAACCGTGATCAGAACATCTCGCATTTCGTCTCGATCCGTTTTACCGTTGGAGTTTTACGATAAAACCCTTAAAAGGCTTGTTTTCTCGTAAAACATCGAGTAAATCGTATAAAATGGCAATGGTTAAACAATACACCGAACATTTCCGAACTATACGATTAAATCGAGATGTTTTTAAAAAAAAACGCTAAAGACTTGTTTTCTCGTAAAATCTCGAGTAAATAGTATAAAACGGCAACAGTTAAACAAAACATCGAACATTGGCAAACTATACGATTAACTCGAGATGTTTTATAAAAACAGCTTCGTATCAGGAAACGATCTCATCTAAAATCGTAAAACGGCTAAATCGCAAAACGGCTCGGAAAGTCCTAAAATGCGATAAAGGCTCACTTACAACTTTACACAAGATCCAGCCCAAATACATGATGACGAGTTACTCATTATTTGCAGGAGTGGGAAAATGTCAAGTTTGAAGGTAAAATAAAAGTTTTCCGAAGAAAAATGGGAAGATTGAGATAAATGGAAGATTTTCGATAAAAGCGCATCGGGCGGAAAAGGAAAGACCAACTGCCTAGAGAAGGAGTATATAAGCAGAAGGTCGAGGACAAGAAAAATGGATGATTTTCTAGACTTAGAAGTCTCTGCACTTAGAAACTTAGGCTTTATTCTCGACAAGTTCAGTTTCTATGACTAGCACTCAATTACTAGACGAACACGCCCAAGAAGTTCGATCTCTTTTCCAGCTCTACCAGTTGAACTACGTTCGGCTTGATCCTCGAAAGGGGTACATAGGCAGCCTTTCATAAGGTTCAGTCCGAAATCAATCAAAACCTTTTTTCTTATCTTTTTCGTCTTTTGTTATCGAGCTGCGACTCAACCAGCTCGCTGACGGCCCCTGCGGCCAAAGCCTTTATAATCTCTTCTAATGATTGCAACGCTCTTACGCAAATTCGAAATAAGATCTACTTTCTTCATAAATTTGTTTTATCATGTTTTTCATATTTTTGCATTTATTTGGTTACTTTTCGTTGGGTCTCGCAGATATCCGGGACCTCTGGAGAATTAGGATTTTCCTAAGTTTCCTTATTTTACTGAAAATCGACAGTGCGAATTTTGGTTCCCACAGTTTAGCGCTAGAAGGAGGGGGGGTCGGATTACTCTAACTCATAGCGGCAAAACGCTTGATCAATACGATGTCTGGATATATGAAAGAAAAAGTCGCAGCTCGCAAAAACGCTGGAAAAACAAATCCAGCAGTGACTACTCCTATAGCCAACGCTCACGCAAACGCTGTAGTACTTAAGAAAATCGAAAACCTAATCGCGACTTTTTGCCACGGGTGGAGCAACAACAAAAAAGCTCGCGATTTCTCTCTCTGATCACTAAGGGAAACGATAAAATCTATCAAACCCTGTAATATTTCTCTTATTTCCGAGTTGGACAAATCTCATTACGTATGGGTTGAACAAAAGACGTTTTCCGAGAACTTTTCAGAAAAATAAAACTTGCTCTCCCAGAAACCGCGGAATAAACCCTAGGTTACTAGAGAAAAAACCGTAAGTTACTCGCGGAATAAACTATAAATTACTCGCGGAAAACCCCTAGGTAACTCGCAGAAAACCGTAGGTTACTCGCGAAATAAACTCTAGGTTACTCGCCGAAAAACCCTAGGTTACTCGCAGAAAAAACCATTGGCTACTCGCAGAGTTGGACGATACTATCTAGCTCGCAAAGACGGTGAGTTGGCCAAGTAACCCAGCTCTCCACCTCAGCGAACTGGTCGGCCTTTCTCCTCGCTTTCGAGGCACTGACTTTGCCCCGAGGGTCCTTACCATCCAGCTCGCCAACAGAGCTCAACCAGTTCACCTCTTGGCGAGCTAGATCGTTCAACGAGCTGATCGGCCTTTCACCTCGCCTTTGAGGAACTGATTTTGCCCCGAGGGTCCTTACCATCCAGCTCGCCTTTTCCTTTTGGCGAGCTGGCCGAAATAAAACATACACAAAAAATCTAGATTTTTATTATATTATTAATGTAATTGTATAATTTATTTTAATAATAAAGAAATAAACAAAAGTATACAGATAGTTAGGGGTGGGCGTTCGGGTACCCATTCGGGTTCGGATCAGGTATTTCGGGTTTTCGGGTATTTCGGTATTGGGGTTTAGGACCCGTTCGGATATTTTTATATATCGGGTCAGATTCAGATATTTTTAGTTAGGGTTTGGTTATTTCGGGTCGGGTTCGGATATTTAGATTTTGAAAGAAAATTTTCAAATTCTTCATTACTTAAGTTTCATGTATTTAAAATTTAACTATTAACTTAATTGTTTTTTAAATGTTTAATAAGTTAGAAGATTACTAAGTTTGAAAATATATTATTGAAAATAAAAATCATTATTTTGGTTGTTATTTTTGAATTTTGGATGCAAATTTTGTAAAAATATGAAATAAGAAGCTTAATATGCATTTTAAATGGGTACAAATCATTTTTTTTTACAATCATATGTGTATTATCTGATCTTAAACTATATATAACATTAATATAATATTTTTAATAAAATGAGACAAATAAGTTAGGAATAAATAGGTATATACATATGTTCGGTTATCTTCGGATATTTGTTCGGGTTCGGATATCCAAACTCTCCTAACTCAATATCCGTTCGGGTATTTTGCTACTTCGGTTCGGATATTTTGGGTCGGGTTCGGGTACGAGTTCGGATATCGGGTAAAGTGCCCACCCCTACAGATAGTTATCAAATCTTTATTGTTTAAAATTATTAATTGTCATATATATATATATATATATATATTAATTACATTAGGTAATTTCGTAGGTTTATTTAAGGAAGTTCTGCGAAACAATAAATATTTGATATATGCGACCAATTATAGTTTGTGAAATATTATATTACTAGAGAGTATAATATTTAGACTATAGACTACATAAGATGCTGTAGAATCCTTCTAAACTGAATTAGAGGACAAAGAGATATGCCACATAGGATGAAGTTATTTTTTAATTAATACAAACTTAAGGTTACAAATGTTTCTCAATTAATATAAAGGAAATATCATTTCAAATTTTCTTTAATACTTTTATGCATTTTCTATTTTCAATCCAATTAGATTAATTAGTTTTTGTCAATAAAGATCTAAGGGAAGTGAACTAATAACTGATTTTGTTAGCACATGTTAGGAGTTATCAGGCTTGGTATCCTTAGCTTTCAACGTCATGTTAATACGTCTTTGACCCCCGATGAAGTTATGTTGTTTACATAATCTTCATAAGCTCTTCTAACTCTCATATGAAAATATGTGACTTCTTTTCCTTTTCCATTTCCATTTAAATGTTTATAGAAACTTTAAAAAATAATGTCACTATATCTTTTATTTATTTCTTTAGATGGCCAATATAACGTAATATTCCAGATCATGTGTCTCTTATATTATCTATTTAAATGAGAATTCCAAAACACAGTAGTTAGAGTTTTAAAATTATAAAGTCTTTACGAACATATTATATTCTTTTGTTTTTTCTCGAGATTAGGAAACTTTCAAAGATAATCTCATGAAATTATTAATACAAACATCAAATAGAGCCAAAAAATATCTAACGTTGAGTAGACGTATTTGGGAGACACAAAATTAAAATTAAAATAAGTAACAAATACGTGTTTGTTTTTATAAAAGCAAAATAAACAATGATGTATTTGATTTTATCTTTGAGCAATGTAATTGACAAATTTCTCAACTCTTAAGAAGTAGTAACAATTTTTGCAGAGATAATTAATGTTTTGGAGGTCGCAACTCTTGGAGTTTTGAGTCTAGCCATATTCTTTAAATATATGTCCACCATCTGAATATGATAGGTACTGAGTGTTTTTTTAATCTTTCTCCAGCAGTGTTCAGATATAGGTAGTGTGTGTACCCAATCTAGGATGTTCAGAATTTGTTTTCCCTCTTTGATTTTTTCTGTACACGGAAGTAATCAAACACAAAGAAATGTATTCTTGTCGCATTCTCCATTTACGGAAATGCAAAGGTGGTTCAGTGCTTCGTCTGATCTGTGATGAAATAGTGATTTATCCCATCGACATAGTGTGCTTCGGGGTTGCTATGTTCTAAGCATAACTCCATAAAGTGTTTGTTCTCAAAGATCATCCTCAGCGGTTCGGATGCAAAATATTTAAGGTTATGGAAATGAGAGTGGGCTCGGTGTCAGAAGTGTCTTCATCTAATGTATACACAGTTTGGGTGACCTCAGCTCAGATTCTATATTATTGGAGATATCGTTGAATCCTGATGAGAAGAGGGTTGAGGGTGGTTTGAAGTTTCCATTTGCCTTATCTTTGCTTATGTGGTCTTCTTGTTGAGGATATACAAATGTTTATAAAGCAACGGGTGTTCAAATACATGATAGGGTGTTATTAGCGTTCATGTTTAAAGATTTTTTTTTTACATAAATGTTATTGGTTTCTTGGAAATCAGGGATATCCCATTTTTTTATTTGATGTAAATCTTGACTGCTTTTATTATTTGCTATTGTGTATGTTTGTTTGAATTATTGTATGCATCATAGTAAGAGTGTGTTGTTATATTCTTAACATCAACAGTTTAATGATCACAGATTTTTGTGGGATTTTAAACAACTAAACATAAACGAAACAACAACTAGATCTATGTGTGATTAGTCTGACAAAAATACAAATGTATGAATTTGAGATTTTAGCAATTTGTGTAATAATCAGTACCAAATCCAGTCCAATGGTCTGGGATACGATCACTAAGACAAAAGACTGTTATAATAGGAAAATAGGTGGGTAACCTGTCTCAAACATTAATCATCCATGTAATGGAAAAAGTGGAAAGTAGGTAAGATCAACACTTAAAATGTGAAAGCTCATGTATAGCATTATTAAAAAAACATAGTACTTCAATCATATATCTTCTTAACTTAAGACAAACACGGCCTCTTGACGACTTTCAAAGTTGTGTCTGTAGACTTGATCAGAACACTACCAATATGTGCTGAATTTGAAATCAAACCTCTTTCACCACTGTTCCCTCCAGACTCTGGTTTAGGAGGTATTGGGTTATCAGCTGTCATGACGCCAACATCGATAGAACCTCCTCCCTGATACAGATGCAAGGTATGAGAAACAAAACATAGTCAAATAATGCAACAACATAATAACAGTGGACTTACATTGTCGATGAAACCGAGGAGAAGCAGACGCTCAAGCTCAGAAAGAATGCGTGTGATAGTGAAGGACTGACGACTTGATGTGAAATTATATAGCGTAGGTCTTTCCTTCCATATCTGTAATAAACTGACGCATTGGAGAATCCTCAGGGTTCACACCTTTTTCAACCTAGGGAAGACAATGTAATAGCGTTAGGAAACGGTATATGGTTAACATAATAAGAGACAAAAATCAAAATTCACCAACATTTGACCAGCCTCGCGTGCTTGAAGGCTATGCAACTTTGTCATTACACCATCAAAACAAACAAAGACACCTTCAGCAGTATCATCAAGTGATGGCAAGCTCTACTCAGTAGCTGAGAAGATAAGCATATGACATTGTAATAGTAATTATACATATTGAGTAATACAACTTCATGGAAAACTATGTTTCATACCATAGATCACCAACAGCATGAGTATTGTCGCATCACACACATGTAAAGGCAGATTTAGTGCACTGGAGTTCCATGCTGCATTTAGCAAGCAACGTAACACCATCCTTTCTCAGAGTTGACTCGAGTAACTCTCCTGATGCACATGAACTCAATTTCCTATATGTTAAATACCACGTCCATAGTCAGCAACACAGCATCCAAACAATAAGACAACATGACAGTTAATTTACCTGAGACAGAGCAATGGTGGCAAAGTTGTTAACCTCAGCTATGGTCAAAGGCTTGACTTTTGGAATCTCTCTCAAAAGTGGTGCGGTTGATGAAAGACCAGAGTCTCTAGCGACCAATTTATATACATATATATAAACGATGAGCATTATGTTTAATTATATGAAGAGAGTTTGACATCTGTATAACTGCCAACAAATCGATAGAAACAGCTTTTTCCCCTGCACTGGCTTCCCCGTCAAAGTAAATGTGTGTATTACAGAGTCCCCACAAACTTTATATACAATTACATACTTAGTAATCGATAGTAATCTGAAAATCTCAATACCTCCAACCATTCTCGGGTTCGTGTTTGTGGCAACAATCACCCTTGGATCAACACTCATGGATTCAAGTTTTTTTTTGTGGAAGGAGATAGCTTGAGAGTCGAATAGACACAATATAATGGAGCCATCACTGAAATTAATAGCTAGTTAGTTATGCAACAAAATACATATGTAACTTGATACATAAACTTGTAAGGAATAAGGGTAACTTATCCAGCTTGATTGTCGCCATAACATGATTTGTTTCTAATATATAGTAGGAAATGGATTGGTTTCTAGTCTTTTTAAAAACAAAGATTCAGATTCATCTGTCTAAAATTCATCTATATATAGTAATATAAATCTTACATATTTACATCCATCATTAACATATCGAGACACGTCAATTCACCACCACGTTTGACACTTCTGGCCTCCCAGAACCAGAGGAGTCTAGCCTCGACGACGGAAGAGCACTTGCCCGGACTTTAGATCAGAGAAAAAAACCTTCGTATTAGCCATTTCGAAAGTAATCAATACGAGATATAAGAGTTGCGAAGACAAAATAAGATAAAGGAGAGAACGATTAACACATATTTATCAAAACAAAGCATTGATGTGAACATAGCGGAGGAGCCAATGAAGGTGACTAATCACGAATCCTTAACGCAAGCCGTTAGAGATGATGTGAAGAATCGCAAGGGTCGCTGTCGCATGAAGACGAGAGATAACTTTCATCCTTCTTGGAGTCGTATTAGGGTCATTGGAACATAATCCTAACAGGCTCGATACGCTTTCAAACCCACATACCAAAAAAGAGACCCTAGACGAAATGCACAACTTAGTTAATCTGGACACGTGGCGCCGACGTGGATGAGATAAAAAGGAGTGAATATGATTTTATATAAATAGATGTATATTTTCTCATTTTAATTCTCAACAAAATCTACATTTATTTTATTTTAATGTTTTGTTGTTTAATGAACTGGGCTTAAGCCCATCCATTGATACGTTAATTTATTTATGGAACAAACCCTTTGATTCTCTTATTTTAATTCTCAACAAAATTACCTAGTCCCTAAACAATGTTACACATTACAAATAGCTCCAGCAACTTTGTCATTTCTATGTAAGAAGAAGAGTCCCCGTGACTCGAAATATCTGAAAGCAAATCAATCTTGCTCGTATGATAAACAAGTACCCGTCGTCGTTCTCTCTCAACGCCTAGTGATTCGGGTTTACGGAAACGTTTGCTCATACGATGTGGCGTAGATCCGCTGTGTCTCGCTTCTCCTCGAGGATCTCTCTGTCTTCTTCTTCTTCTTCGTCACCAAACCCTAGACTGATTCCATGGTCCCGCGAATTATGCGCCGTCAACAGCTTCTCACAGCCTCCGATTTCTTCGGAATCAGCTGCTAAGCTAGCGATCTCCGGTGACGTATCCAATCCCAATCGAGTTCTCACCTCAGGTGCTGTCGCCGCCACATCGAGAATTGCGGCTGCGGCAGGATTAGGTCACCACTACGCTCGTTGTTACTGGGAGCTTTCTAAGGCTCGACTTAGGTATGGTAAAGTTTGAAACTTGGAATCCAATTCTATTTTTAAAATGGTATCTTTCATTTGTTTGATAATCGTTGCAGCTTGTTTAAAATTTGTATCTTTTCGTGTTAATTCATTTGTTTGATCGTTGTAGCATGCTCGTGGTTGCGACATCTGGCACTGGTTACATTCTGGGTACGGGGAATGCTGCGGTTGACTTAGCGGGTCTTTGTTACACTTGTGCTGGCACTATGATGGTTTCTGCATCTGCTAACTCCTTGAATCAGGTTTGTGTTTTGATGTTGTGTTGTCCATCAAACGTTTAGTAGGGTAGTTTCGGTCGTATGGATTTTTATCGAATCATTGTTGCAACTGTATGCTTATGCCCTATTAAAAAAAAAAAAGATAAAAGCTATGAACTTTTTGTTGTTGATCTCGCTGGTTTTTGGCAGATTTTTGAGATAAGTAATGATGCTAAGATGAAGAGGACGATGAAAAGGCCGTTGCCTTCAGGACGTATTAGTGTTCCACATGCTGTTGCTTGGGCTACTATTGCTGGTACTTCTGGTGCTTGTTTGTTGGCTAGTAAGGTGAGACTGTTTGTTTCTATGGTGTTATGTGTAAGTGATGAAAGAGGTTATGAGTTTAATTTTTTTTGGCTTTTACGACAAGGTTATTGCAGACTAATATGATGGCTGCTGGACTTGCATCTGCTAATCTTGTCCTTTACGCGTTTGTTTATACTCCGTTGAAGCAAATTCACCCTATCAATACTTGGGTTGGAGCTGTTGTCGGTGCCATCCCACCCTTACTTGGGTATGCTTTCCTCTTCGTTTCTTTTAGTTCATGTCTGCTTTTTACTCGGGTTTTGCAAGTTTGTTGATGTTTTGTCTATTTTTGGGTTGTTCAGGTGGGCTGCAGCTTCGGGTGAGATCTCATGGAATTCGATGATTCTTCCAGCTGCTCTGTATTTTTGGCAGATTCCTCATTTTATGGCCCTTGCACATCTCTGCCGCAATGATTATGCAGCTGGAGGGTAAGATGATATGCACCATATAGTTTTATATTAGATGGAATGACTCCTTCACATCTTGAAAGTGGCCAGCTCAGCTGCATGATCTCGCCCTAAATAGTGCTAGACAATTGAAATTTTTTTGTGGGGACTCATTTCTGATGTTGTGTCTTTGTTTGCAGTTACAAGATGCTGTCGCTGTTTGATCCTACAGGGAAGAGAATAGCAGCAGTGGCTCTTAGGAACTGCTTTTACATGGTCCCTCTCGGTTTCATTGCCTATGACTGTGAGTCCTTTCTTCCTTAGGATTCATTATTGTATGTTGATTAAGTGCTTTTCTGAACTTCCATTTTTTGTGAACACAGGGGGTTTGACATCGAGCTGGTTTTGTCTCGAATCAACACTTCTCACAATGGGAATTGCTGCTACTGCGTTTTCATTCTACCGACACGGGACCATGGAGAAAGCAAGGAAGATGTTCCATGCCAGTCTTCTCTTCCTTCCTGTTTTCATGTCTGGTCTACTTATACACCGTGTGTATGATGATAACCAGCAGCCACTCCTAGAAGTAGCCAGTTTACCAAACTCTGCATTGGATGAAGTAAAACCTCAAAGAAGAAAGAAACGTGCTGCTCAGGCTCCTGTGGCTTATGCTTCTGCTGCACCGTTTCCTTTCCTCCCAGCTCCTTCCTTCTATTCTCCATAAAGCAGCTCTTGAATTATATTGAGGACACACATCACAAGTGAAGAATATTGTGAAATTGTTTTTGAGTTTTCATCTTTGGTAATAAGCAAGTGGAGAGAACGCATACTAGAGGTTTATGTATTTTTGGCTCCACAATATATATTTTTGTTTTTCATATGTTCATTGTTATCAACGGCTTTGAAAGCTTTAACCGAGTTTATAATATGTTTGATAAAACATTTGATATATTGTTTGATTGGAAGAAGTGGGAATATGCTTTGTAGTTGTTCGATATAGTGCTTATGCAGAGCTCTTAATTGCTCGCTAGTGAAGAACCATTTCACCAGATAACTCCACCATTAGCATGAAGCTAGAAACAGTAGCTTATGTATAATGTTCTCTTTTACTCCTCAATAGCAGACTTGTTTAGTCAAAAGCTTAGTCCATAGCTTCTTATACGTTTACATATCTCAAACACTTCCAACATTCTCAATGAAAGAGGGCTCGTAGCTACGCTTTGCTTCAATGTGGAATTATTGTTAAGAAAACTCGAGCTCCGCATGTATAAACTGTAGATGAATGTTCAAACTTTTGCGCAAAATCTCTTATAATGAACCTAATATATATCAGATTCTGATTCTCAGTGCCGGCTCTTACCCATAGATTCTGATTCTCAGTACTGGCTCTTACCTATGGCAACATGAACATTTGCTATGGACCATGGGTCCATAAATTTTTGTGTTGCTTACTTTCTTTAAAAGTCAATTTCAATTTGATAAATTATTTAAAAAATACATAATTAAGGAAAGATAATCTCTTATATATTATTTTCGAAGTGATTTATCACATGTTCTCTCTACAATTTTTTTACAAAAAATATGGTAATAACTAATATATTACATTTAATGTTGATTTATATTTTTGGTAAATTTCTTAAAATATGGTAATAACTCATAAATCAAATCATTAGTAAAAATAAATATATTGAAATATGCATTATAAATTTTGAAATGTTATTTAATTTTACTTTTATAATTATACAATTTTTATTACAAATTTATTTAAATAATTAATAAATTTTTAATCGTAATATCATTAGTTTCTGTTAGATATCGACAAATTTTATAAATAATGTTTAGTTATAATTTTTAATGACTATATAATTTTTATATGATTTTTTAGCAATTTTATACAAGTTGATTTAATACATTCAACCAAAATAAATATATAAAAAACTAAGAATCGAATTTTAAATTTAAAATAAACAAATTTATTTTTTCTTAATTTTGTATTTAATTAAATCCCATTTATATTATATATTAATCAAAATAATAAAATATATAATATTAATAAATTTCATTTTGAATATAATTTAAATTTTTAAAAGTGTATCACTATAAATGATGTGGGAAAACACCTAATTTACTTATTAAAAGACAAAACAGTACGAAATCTATACTTTTATCATTATCAACTAAAGCTACGTGGTCTACATCTTGGGGATTAGTCTGGGTCTGAGATACCCAAGTTAATCAAAAAAAGAAAAAAACTAAATCTAGAAAAATATGTGTTCATGTGATTGTTTTTTGTCTTGTAAATAATTGTTTTAGAGCTCAAGTTTAAAAGAAATACAGTAAAAAACTATATAGAGAATATTTATAAAAGTGTTAATCATATTCATGTTTTGCCCAGGCTATTATTATATTCGTTAAGACCTTAACGGCACTGCTGATTCTCAAGAGTGTTTGGTTAAAGATATAGCGTCACGGTTAGTCTTTTGCCGTTACCGGTTAGTTATTCAGTTACCGGTTAGTTAAAACGATACAAAGGTCACTTTGGTATCTCGCGGGCGGGTAGAAAAGAGAGTGATCTTTACTGTTTACGAGCTTTTTTTCTAAAAACCCTAAAATCTCTCAAAATCGATTACAATGGCGTCTCTTCTTCACGCTCAGTCTTCACCTAGTTTACCGGCGGCGGATCTCCGGCGATCTTCTTCTCTGATTCTCCGCCGTCCTAGTTCGGTTCGATTTCCTCTTGTAAGTCTCTCTCTCTCTCTCTCTATCTGGTATCTCAGTAGTTGTACAGTCTTTACGCTCGTATCTGATGAGAATCTTGATCTGCGAAATAGAAGTGTAAGGCGGTGGATTCGTACGGCGGGAACTCGGACGATTTGTATCTGCTTACAGGCGACGCCGTTCCTTCGAGTGCTCTTCTCTCGAGGACGCGATTGGAAGATGCGATTAACAAGAACACTACACGGCTCCGTATCTTCTCCGGCACTGCTAATCCTTCCTTGGCTCAGGTTCCTTTTGCTTAATCTGAGTTTTGAATTGCAATAATTAGGAAGAAACTTGTTTCTACTAGGATAGTTACTTGAAGCTGGAGATTCGCTCAATTGCGATTAGAAAGAAACTGACTATCTTGTCAATTCATGGATCTTGGTGATTTCAATTCGCAAGAATTAGCAGATTCAACTTGAATTGCTGCGATGAAGAAGAAACTGATTATCTTGTAAATCCATGTTCAGGAGATCTTAGTCTGACATTGAACTGCAGAAATTAGCAGTATTCATTTTGAATTGCGACTAGGAAGAAACTGATTTCTACTTGGGATAGTCTCTTGAAGCTGGAGATTTGTTCAAATCGCTTATCAAACGATTATGAAGATAACTGGACAATTAGATATCAGATTCAATACTTGTCTAGTTGTAGAGAGTAGAGAAATACTTGTATGAATACTTATTGTATTGTGACATTTACAATTAATGAAGAATACATTCCGTTACACATTATCTTCTATTAGATACTAATTATCTTGTAACTTCATGGATCTTGGCGATTGTACAGGAGATATCTTGCTATTTGGGTCTGGAGCTTGGGAAAATCAAGATTAAGCGGTTTGCTGATGGTGAGATCTATGTTCAGCTGCAAGAGAGTGTTAGGGGTTGCGATGTGTTCCTTGTGCAGCCTACATGTCCACCTGCCAATGAAAACCTTATGGAATTGCTTGTTATGATTGACGCTTGCCGTAGAGCATCTGCCAAAACCATCACCGCCGTCATTCCTTACTTTGGCTATGCTCGAGCTGATAGAAAGGCAAGTACTTTCTTTATTGAATCTGCCTTTGGAATCAATCTGTTTATAGCATACTCTTCTTTTTCCAAAATTGGTAGCTTAGTTCTCTGCTTGAAGCTGAATTGAGTTCCTCTATTACTACTGAATGCCTAACAGAGTTTTTCATTTGACCCTTCCCTTCTACAAACTCTTGCAGACTCAGGGACGTGAATCTATTGCTGCCAAGCTTGTCGCTAATCTGATAACCGAGTCTGGTGCAGACCGCGTTCTTGCCTGTGACCTTCACTCTGGACAGTCTATGGGCTACTTTGATATTCCTGTTGACCATGTTTATGGCCTGGTAAACAAGGCTTCCCATAAAGCATTTATTACTTTTTTTTGTGAAAATGGATTTTCTTATGGTTCCTTGTTTGGGGTTTAATATCTTAAACAGCCTGTGATACTTGATTACCTAGCAAGCAAAGGCATATCCTCTGATGATTTGGTGGTTGTTTCACCTGATGTTGGTGGAGTGGCAAGAGCTCGCGCTTTTGCCAAGAAACTATCTGATGCTCCTTTAGCAATAGTTGACAAAAGACGCCATGGACACAATGTCGCAGAGGTAACAAAAAAAAACGATTGGCATATACATTTTAACCGAGGCTGGCTTCGACATGTAACAATCCATTTGATGTAGGTGATGAACTTAATCGGGGATGTCAAAGGGAAAGTAGCTATAATGGTGGATGACATGATTGACACAGCGGGTGAGTTACTCAAGCCTATAGCTGAGTATGTAAATATCCATCCATAAATCTCCATTATGCTTAGACACTTGTTGTTGTATCAAATTAGGAACCATAAGCAAAGGTGCAGCTCTGTTACACCAAGAAGGAGCAAGAGAAGTATACGCATGTACCACTCATGCCGTTTTTAGGTAAAAGTCCATGTGAAAATATTTGCAAAAGTGTTGGACGTATAAGCTTATAGAGATGCATTTTTTGTGTGATAACTGGAAACAGCCCACCTGCAATCAGTAGACTATCGAGCGGCCTGTTTCAAGAGGTGATCATAACCAACACGATTCCACTGTCGGAGCAAAACTATTTTCCTCAGCTTACAGTTCTCTCGGTAGCAAACCTTCTCGCGGAGACCATATGGCGTGTTCATGATGATTGCTCTGTAAGTAAAACAAACAAACAAAAAAACATTGCTTTAAAATGAGATTTCTCAGGGATTCATCGAGTCTTAACTATAATTTTTTTGGATGTGTCAGGGAGACATTGAGCCATTTTCGACATTGGGGATTGATTGACTGATGCAAAAGAATGGTGAAAAAATCGACTCAGACTCTCTCAATAGTAATGGGTTTCTGAAAATGTACAACTTCCTTTTTTTGCGCTTGTAAATGTTAAGACATGTGTGTGAATGATTAGAGGAACCAGCTTGTAAGAATACATTTTCTAATTTCCTTGCCTTTTCCCACTTTTAAATCCAATCATGTGGACTTTAGTGAGATAGTTAGTGGCCCCTTTGAGAGCCGCGAATGCGTTTCGACTCTCGTTGTGGGAGTTAAGCTGAGATGCTGTCTAAACAAACAATGCTCCAAGCTAACATCGTCTCGTGCATCATGATATAATACGCTCCGGTGAGATCAATATCTTTTTACAATGAGCGACACTTAATAGATAATCATCACAACAAAACAATATGGAAAAATGGATTGGGTTTTAAGATTTACATGAGCATCAGAACTGTCTCTGAGTGCATGATCTCCTCTATTGTCAACTCTTTGGTCTGATGGCAATTGTTGTCCCGAGCGTCGAGAGCTTCTCCATGATCTGAATCTGCATAAAAAGCTCCACATGTAAAATCAGAAACAGTGACAAAACAATGCAAATTGCTTTTGATTGTTAGGAAGCATTGTGATGATTTTTTTTTTAACACGCAAGACATGCTTTGGATCGGTTATTGCATATAATATTCTAACTATAACTTGATCCTCACGGGGTGCGGATATTTGATTTAACTTGTGTCAATGTAAATTCATAAACCGTTGGTTTTATAAAAAAAAAATATTTTTTTATATTTTGTAAATTACATATCGAATAGAATATATTATTTTATAATAGAAATGTTTAATAATAATCTTTTTATTTGTACATAATATTATATCAAAAAATTTATAACTTGATATAATTTGATGTAACTATACTATTCATATATTAACATGTTATTTTTTGTTTAAAATGTAACAACATAATAAAAATTAATATTTTGCTTTAGTTTTCTATGAATTATCATTAATTTTATGATATTTTTATCTTGAAAGTTGAACTCTTAAAATTTTATATTTGACTAAAGTAAATAAATTTTATTTGACTAAATAAAATAATATTATATTTAAAATTTACTTTATATAATATCTATTATATAATTTTATGTTTCTCTCCCTCTCAAGGGTGCCACGTTGGCTGCCACGTCATTATGTTCACGTAGGACAGACACGAATTGGGTCTGCAATGTTTGTGTCTTATTTCCCTTATTTTGGTTTTGGCCCGTTAACTTTTTTATTTTTATACGCGATAAAGCATTGTTTTATTCCCCTAAAACTTAATTCCTTTTGTTTTCGTGAGACCCGATTCTCTCTTCGTGCTTCCTCAATGTATCTGCAGCTGCCGGAGTTATGGATTTGTGTTAAATTCCATTGATTCACTCCCACACGAAGTCGTCTTCAATGCTTTGTTTCGTCCCAAAAGGCGGTGGTGGTTCCGTATAAATATATGTGAGTATCGCTCTACTCTGACACATCTGAGAATTGGGCGGCGAGGAAAGTAGCAGCCGAAGCCTTGGGGAGGTTAGCCACGGCGGAAAGAAATGATTTTGGAGAAAGTCTTTTAAGATCTTCAAAAGCAAGGTATACGACAAGGTTTTTTTTTTAGTGTCTGAATGTAGGTTTGTTCTGCTCCAGCATGATTACAATTTTCAATTTTTGAGACATGTTTAGGTGAAAGCTGTGAGAGAAGTGATGAACCAGATGATGGAGGCATGAAAACAAGTCTGAGATTTATCAGAAGAGGTTTTTCAACCAAGATTAATGTTTCTTCTAAAGGTATCTTTTCTCCGTTAGATCTTTAGCCAAAATTTGGAAACTATTTGTTTAGTGCTCACTACTCCTGGTTAATTCCTTTGTGTCTATGAGAAAATAATATATATTTCAGTTTTTTTTTTTTCACCACAAAAAAAACATCATTGTAATTAATTAATTTAAATTGATTTTAAATGCAAGTATAAAATCTGTAAATAAAAAGAAATACAAAAAAATATTTAATTTATTGTAAGTGTAATGGCTAAAATGTGTAAATAAAAAAAATATTTAATCTAGTATTCATGTTTCCAAACAATTTTCATTTATTCTACTATTCTTATTTCTAAACAGTACCAAAAGGTACTTCAGTTTTAATAATATAGATGAATAGGTAGCATATTCCCTAATGCTTTCCTTTGTTATATGCTACTTATATGCTATACTTTTAACTAATTTGATGGCAATTAATTTATGTGATTAACGCACAAGGATTCTATTGCATTTGCATATAATAAAACAGTGATGAAGATGTTTTATCTTCATCTAATTATTGCTTGGATGGAAACAAAATTATTAGTGTGGAAACACACATGCTCTAATATATATTTTTGGAAAATATATTCCAAAGTAAAAAAAAATATGATTGCGGGTCTTAAAAGGGTATTAAAAGAAGATAATTTGCCATGTAGGCATTAGCGCTTCCGTTTAAACCATCTTTGCTAAACGTTTAATGTTTGCCTGAAGCTTGGTGACTTTTTGGTCTACCAACCAGTCGATGGTGTAGCATGAGTTAGAGCTGCTGGCCTCTGAAGTTGAGGTGGTACAATTTTGATTGAAGTTTGCAGGGGGTTTGTTTTCAGTCGACGAAGATTTTTGAGACCGTTTATGTTATCAAGGCATGTAACACCCCCGAACCGTCTTAGACATAGACTGAACCACAACTGATAATCAAACAAGAACATGATTGATCGATCAATTGACATCCCGTGGTCTGAAAGCATTATGTGATGGGTTAGGAACAATCAGGTCAAAATCACAAAATTTAATTCGTAACTTAGACCAATTCATCCATCACGTCCCGTTAACTCTTGGCTTAAGGTTTTGCAACACATACCCGAGTTAACATTTCCATTAGATCAAAGTCTAAGGCTTTGCAACCGGTACCAAAACCTAACGTTGTGTTGGTACAAACAAAACTAATATTATCTTGGACCCGTTAATTTTAAATTCAACTATGTGTCTGGTCCGCATCCTGTGCGGACATAAAAATGTAGTGTGATATCGGTTGAGTTGGGATTTGATAGAAATATTTTAGTATTGAACTCATTGATTTCCATGTATTACAAATGCAAGAAAGTTGATACTGACATACCGTGCATCTTCAATGTGGAAGAAAGTAGGACAAGTAAGAGTTTCAATGTTAAGATAGGGTCTGCGTAAATTTTCAGAATGAAGTATGGTAGAGATAAAAAACGGGTTGCATAACTCTTCTTCTGGAAGTAGCATGTGCATGCATAAAATTTTCAAAATATGGAAAAATTAATATTGTTTAGTTTTAGAAGTTACATATTTTATATTATCACTAAGTGAAATTGTGTTGTATGAATGATGTAATTGTATATTTTAGGGGAAATATTATATTTGTGTTTATATATTTTTGTTTAAAATAGTGACATATTAAAAGAAAATATGATAAAAATTGATATATAGTAATCAAACGTTGCATAATAAGAAGTATATTTGGCAAGAAAAAAAATCCATAAGAAGTACATATAATCCATAAGTAATATAAAATAAAATAAGAAGTACAATTCGCAAGAAAAAAAATCCTTACGAAATCTGCAAAAAGTTATTTAATCTTGTTAGCAAGTGTAAGATATCAAATAATTTTAATAAATTTCTAAATTTTATTTAAATGAAAATCATATTAAATTTACATAAGGTTATCGAAATAGTCTGAAAACTGGTTTGTAGTCAACTACAACTGGTATTTCATCTGTGTTATTTAACTATTAATAGAAGAAACAAACAAATTTAAATTTTTTTTTAAAATTTTTATCAAATAATAATAGACTAAAATTGCGTACCATTTACTATCAAATATTTTGAAAAACTTGTTCGTAGACAACATTTGTTGTGCTTGTTTATCCGTTATTATGATTTTTAATCCAGTTTTGGACTTTACTCTCGAAAGTGCAACATATAACAGGCCATGAGAAAACACTAGTTTAGGTAGAAACAAACCAACATTTTGCAGCGTTTGACCTTGACTTTTATTGATAGTTATCGCAAAAGCTAACGTAACTGGAAACTGTCTTCGACGCATTCTAAAGGGAAATTTTTTGTCAGGTGGTGTGACAAACATTCTCGGGATCCAAACTGATTCTCTGGCAATATCGTTGCCTGTTATAATTCTCCCTTGTATCATATGGGGCAGTAAGTGATTAACAATTAGCCTAGTACCATTACATAAACCATCCGTAACATCCATGTTACAAAGACACATGATATGAGCACCAACCTTCAGCTTTAAACAATGTATAGGCAGTCTAGCAAATTTAACACTGTTTAAAAACTCTATATGATATACCACATTTTCTTCTTTGTCAACATCAGATGGAATAATGCTGTCAGAGCTAAGGTAAACCTTCTCTTCACCTGAAAGCTTTATATGTAAATCTTTTTATTTACATACATGTAAATAGTTAGTTGAATATAAGAGGTAATGATAAAAAAATGTTTTCTGGCAACTGAAAAAACGTGTAATCATTTATCTTGTCCACTTCAGCATTTGTGGGAGTCAGAATGGCTCGATGTCTATACAAATCCTTGCTATAGTTTGAATAGGTCTTCTCCACTATTTGTTATCAGCAAATCCGAAGAGAAGTCGATCTCAACTTGGCAGTCGTTGGCAAATTTATTTTTCCATCTCGAATAAGTTTCACTAAACTCCATTTTGAGAAAGTTTCAAGCTCTTTTGCTGCATCATCAGTAAGACCAGAAAGCAATCTCATGTTTTTTGTTAGCTTCAAAACTTTGCCGTGCTCCCAAAGATATTACGAATTCAGAGTAGCCAAATCAGTCTCTGCTCTACCTCCTCCAGGTATAACCGATAAATCTGTCTGAAATCACCACCAAAAATAACAAATTTACCCCCCCCCCCCCAACAGGCTTGTCTTCAGAAGATCTAATAATATCACGCATACTGCGATCCAAAGTCTCGAAACAGTGTCTGCTCATCATAGGCGCCTCATCCCATACAATTAGCTTTGCGGCTTTAACCAATTTTGCATGATATGATCCTGGATTCATTTTCTTGCAAGTACTGAATTCATCTGCATCTATCGAAATACCAAATCTGGAATGGGCGGTTCTACCTCCTTCCAACAACAATGCA